CACCCCACCATTAAAATTGTGCAGGGGTGCTGTATACGCTTGCATGGGGTGCCAAATTGGTTAGGGATGGTACTGGATCTGGCAGACATGCTGATGGTTTGGACGAAACTATTATTTTTAACAATTTAGATAGCTAATCAAGAGTGGCAAAGTTAAAACAAAAATAAGGTTATAGTGACACTTCTACAGCTTGTTTTTAATAGAGAATCAGAGGCAGCCAGTAGTGAGCAGTAGTGATGAAGTCATCACTACTTAGCGCTACAAGGATGCATGGCTCAGCAGGCACAGGACGTTTCATTAGTCTAGTTGCAGTACTAAACAAAATCCTGGGTTTGTTCGAGTTCTCTATTAAAGATAAATACACGGTTCTCGTTTTATTGTTCGTTGACAAACTATCTCTCCTGGTTAAATAAAATTCTGCGCGAGGAAAATCAATTCACATGTTTTGTTGGGATCAGGGCAGCATGATGGTAGAGTTGGAAGAGCTGTGGACTCTCAGTGAGAAGATCGCAGAATAGCCTCCTGGCCTGGGTGGAGTTTGCATGTTCTCCCCGTGAACATGTGGGTTTCCTCTAAGTACTCCAGTTTACTTTCCACTGACAAAAAAATCCTTCATGTTAGACTTATTGGTAACTCTAAATTGTCCCTAGGTGTGAGCGAGGGTGAAAATGTTTGTCTCATTTGTCTCCGTGTCCTTACATGGACTTGCAACCTGTCCAGGGTGTCCCCCACCTCTTGCACAGTGACTGCTGGATATGGACACCAACTATCCCCACGACCCAGAAAGGAAGAAGATAACGGATGAATAGATGTTTGAACTAGTTGTAGCTATTTGTCTGCCTTTCTTGTATTATAGAAGTAATTGAGTCAGTAAGCTTTCAGTCCTTCCCATCATTTATCAGGGGTCTTCTTACTTGTAAGTGTAATATACAGTGCTAATCAATGTGTTGTTTGCAAATTAATTTAAATAGATAATAAGTATGATGTGAAGTATTCAGTCTTGTCTGCCACAGTGGGGAGAACACATCATCATAAGCACCAACAAACAACTTGCCTGCAGGCGTATTTAAATCCTCCTTCACTTTCTGCTCTCGTCTTTTTGATCATAATTTTCCAGAAACTAAAACAGTGTGTTGCATTTCCACAGAACAGAGGTGCCCTCCTAAATGCATCAGCTTACTATAAAGGTTGAGTGATGGTTTGAATCTCAGGTTTTTATTGTTTTAAGTCATGTTTTTCTGCAGGTGGATCTCAAAGTAGTCGACAACAACAGCAGCAAAAAAACAATAACATTTATTTATTGATTTGTACGTTATATATTTCATGATATAATAGCGATATAATATTATTGGCAAAGATACTATAATCCAATTGCATTTCTATACATAAATACAAAATCTGAGGTAGAGCCTCAAAGATTGATGATGAAAATAAATAAATGTCTCACATTTATGATATATATATATATATATATATTCAATTTTTTACACATCACACACATTTTAAAACATAGTTCTATAATATATCTACTCTCTATTTTCAAATCAAATGAATGTCATGGGCTGTTAGAGGCACATATCTATATCCATAGGCAGCAGTACCTCACGTAGAACACAGAGAAATATGACATTACTCAAGTAATTAGAAATTTAACCTATGCATCCATAGGTCACACAATAAAGTGCCAAAAGGACACAACAGACATAACAATAAGAATACAGGAGACAGACAGCTATGCTGTAGTGTTATTTTTGAAAAACATATAATATTCTACCATTAGAGAACATCTATAAGGCCAATGGTTACCTGAAGATGTTTTGTAACGTATTGGCTAACATCAACGAACACTACATAAAATGAATGGCAGTATCGCAATTTCCAATACGTAGATGACACATTCCTTTTTATATATTTATATATATTTATTTTCTGATTTTACTACAACTCTAGAGACCTCTTTCTTTGGTTACGTTTTCTGCCCAGTGTTGACTTGCAGGCTAAAAGGTTTGACAGTTCCTTATATATTTTTTTTATTCTTTTGTTCTTCTGTAAACCAACAACAGCAACCCTCTGTTTCTTAACATTATGTAGAACAAAAGGTTTTCCTAAAGTAAACATGCACCGACTTACACTATGAAAAGACAAAAGATAGCTACACATGGACATTGAGTTAAAGCAACACAATCTGCACATGCAAGCTCTTCATTTGATAAACGTTATAAAGCAGTGTGGTTTTAACTAAACCCTGAAGTTTTCTTTTCTCTTGCCCTCTAAAACCGTAAACAGAGAATCCCTGTACACTTTGAGAGACAGGGGCGCACAATTTAGAGCTAACTGCAGCTACACCCCTAAACAAAATCATTAAAATGATTTGGGGCATAAAGGCTTTCGTTAGTCACTTTTTGCTACAATGAACTGAAGGCCTGTACAATACACATTTGCTTTCAAACTGCAAACTGCTTCCTCAGTTGAACAGTACGGAATAAATAACAATATTTTTGAGCATATTTACTTAAATTTTACATAACTGCTCACAATCACAGTTGGTTCTCGAAGATCCTCTCGTTATCCAAAGAAAGAGAGAGGTGAAACCAAGGCAATCCAAGAAGTGCATGTAAATTCTTTCCGTTTCTTCCTGCAATCTACTGAGGCCAGCCATGCAAACATCTGATTGACAGTTAAGTGGAGTTCGAACAAACTTATACGAAGACAAACACACACACACACACAAGCATAAACAGACATACGTTATTATCACAAACAGAGCTAAATGCACCACGTTTTCAAAGGAACACAGCGTAGCGAGCAAGCTATTTAACATCGGTGTTTTTGTGCTCATTAACTGATTACGTTTTGTTTTCTAACAACCTCTTAAACTGGATCTGTGCTGTTTTTTTTTCCTGTCAGGGTTATGAAGAAAACATGGCTTAGAGAAATAGAAAGAGAGTTCCTTAAACATTGTAGCAATTATCATTGCATTTAAGAATGCTCCTCGGTTTAATGCCTGCAGTGTTAAAAGTGTATAGGCCAAATCAGGAGCTTTTTGTGAGCACAAACATACACATCCTGTTGGCCAAAGAGTGCAAAAGACTGATTGCTTCTAAGTGGATATTTGGTGTTTCAGTTAGGTTGACGGTCCAAGTTGGTGGTCTGTCGTGACGTTTCATGCCAGTCTGATCACCTGCTGAGGTGTATTGGTAAAACAGTTGCAGATGACTTTTATTCCTCTAGAAACAGCCTCATAGCAGCTCAGTAATGTTGATGATGGCAGAACAGCAGAGTCTAAAACAGGTGCTAAATTACAGCAATACGCCTGATCCTGATGGACTGCAGTGTGAGTGAGGGGACCAGAAAGCTGCTAAAAGCCTTTTACTTTCTGTGTATGATGCATACACTGCAGCAAACCATCGCGGGTGCAGGTTATGTCTACTGTTTGTTGCACAACTTTCAACATTTTACTTTTAAATGACTGTTATTTGATTTTGGTGCATCGCAAACACAACGACGCCTGGTTAAGTGCAGCGCACAGCTGGCCATGACGAGTTGAGTCGTTCTTTTAACAAAATGCTTTCAGGTCCTCTTAACTGCTGTTTTTCACCATTGTGTTCAGCGTAATTATTAACTTGAAAGTGGCTCGACCTTTCTTTGCACTGAAATTGAATATTCCTGCAACTACCACGGTAGTCTGAAAGAGTATACCTGAGACCCTGTTTTCACGAGGACACACAAAGAAGCAAGAGGGTCTGAAACAACAATGATGTAGTGACGCACATCTCCTCAAAGGCTGTTTTCTAGTCTAAAGATTCATCTGCTCACCCACAGAAGTGTGTTCTATTGTGCACTTTTTACAAAACATTACAGCTTAGCAACACACACACACACACACACTCAATCTCTGTCTAGCTATGTCCTCCTCTGGAAGCAATATAGATGCTTGATAATGTATATGTGTATATAGTTATATATTTATATATATATATATATTATGCTTTTAATTTCCTGATGTGATGTACACGATGGCTTGACAAAGTCACAACACATACAGTAATAAATAGACATCTAAAATATATGCACGTAGAGTAACTATGAGGTCAGCATTGAGACCTGAAAGGGTTTATTGGCCACGTCATCACCTATCGATGTGCTGCATCAACTACTCTAATAGTTCCCTACACTGGGAAGGTGCTAATTTATATTCTTGGATAATACATCTGGAACTTAATGAGTAGACAAAGAGAGAAGGTATCACATTGGGTCCCTCAGGTTGCGAGAGCAAAATAAATCCAAGCTTCTATCACCCCACTGAGCATGTACGCCGCAAAAGTGGTAATCGGGATGCATTTGCTACTCTACTGGGAGATAGGAGGCACAATTTACAAGTCGTGTAGTCTATTTTTAACAAAGCAAGAGCAACTGAGCAGTGGTTCATATGACTATAAATATTTACTGCAGAATATAAACTAAATCTGATAACAGAGCATATAGTCTCTTTATTTAACCTTTTTTAAGAAGCTGCTGAGTTTATACTGCTGATAAAATATTGCACACAAATAGAACCAAAAACTAAATCCCCACAGAGCTTAGCAAACCCTTTTTTTAATCTATTTCATACTTTTCTTTTTGTTTGTTTTTTGTCTTTTGCGTCTACTTGCACCAACATGATTCATTATGTCTACTCACAAATGTAACCCGCACATACAAAAACGCACGCACACACACACCCACAAATCGACACGACTCCATAGGGAGTAGCTATGTTGAGTCTAATATTGCAAGTACAGTCTGAGCTTTGTCATTTTATGACACAATTTTTCTCTTGGAATGAGTTCCCTGGGAGGGGGTTCTGGAGTAATCAATGGTCGTGTGTAGGAGGCCATGGTAGCCCATTAACTGAGTACAAAGTAGCAGCGGAAGAGCAGACTCCACTCGGGCAGCCACTCCTCCCTGAGAGAAGACAGGAAATAGTGAAGAGGTAAAGGAAGAGGAAAGCTTGTTTCCGCATCAACAGTACAGAGAAGAAGCAAATAGAGCGACGTGGGACGCTAGTAAAACAGAGTGTCGAGAAAAAGGAGGAAAAATAGCGTAAAAGACAGCCTGGAGGTAGGCATCCACCCCACTCTGTGCCTCCTGAAAGGGTTGGAAACTGCGGGGGATGGCTGCTACTGGTAGGAACCAAGCTGGAAGTCCTTAGGGGGCAGTTTGAGACCCAGGGAGCTGGTTCCTAATGGGTCGATCATGTTCTTGTAGCGATTTCCACGATGCTTCATCAGGAAGGGACCCCAGTCGGGCTGAGGGGAGCAGACCAACTTCAGACGCTGCAAGGAGAAAAACTCTTTTGTTACAGTAGTAAGCGGCCATTTTACCCACAACATTTAAATTGTTATGCACTAATGATTGATTGCTTGAGACTGATGGTCCCCTGTAAAGCATGTGCAAAGTCAGTTTCTGGGAATTGCGCAGCAGACTGGTTTGAAACACGTCAATAAGGTGCTATTTGCTGCTGATGCTGATTTCAGAGTCAGAGATTCTTTATTGTCATTCGCACCTCATGTGGTACATGTGGTGGAGTGAAATTATGTACACAAGGTCCCAGTTACATCCAACAATAAAATGTATAAGAAAAACAGTAATAACATCTAAGATATGAACTAAGAAAAACATCAACTAAATATACACTAAGCACTCATAACATAAAAACATTGAACATCAGCACAAACATGAACATGAGTCTGTGAGCAGATGAGCACGCATGAACACATCAACATTGAAACAGATCAGCAGCAACATGAAACAGATCAGCAGCAACATGAAACAGATCAGCAGCAATATGATGTGTTTTTTTCACATTGATTATTCTAGTTAGAGATCCATGAGTCTAACAGCCTCAGGGTAGAAGCTGTTCCTCAGTCTAGTGGTTCTACACTTAATGCTCCTCAATTTCTTGCCTTTATGCTGCTGTATTTATACCCATCTGCTCACTACAGACTCATGTTCGGGCTGCTGTTTAATATACCATATCATTTTACATTATTAGTGTTTAGCGTATATCTTAGATCTTTTAGCATATTGTTTAGCGTTCATTTAGTATATATCAGTGTATATCTTAGAGCCGTATATATTATTTCTTTATATACTTTATATTTTTGCTATTTTTGGGTGTAACTGGGACCTTGAGTACACAGTTTTTTTTCCGCCTGATGTACCACATGTGATGTGAATGACAATAAAGAAACTTGAACTTTGAGCCTTGAACCTATTTAATACTTGATCTTGTTGTCAGGGTTCAGACTGATGAAGTCTTTCGGATGAAAGACAAAAGTTTTCTTCCAAAAAGAAACAGTCCAGATTACACGTTTCAAATATTTTGTAATTTATTTACCTGAATGATTGAGATTACTTTTTCATTTTCTTTTGAACGATTTTGGCCAGGTTGTGTTCAGGCTGGTTCGGTGAATAGTAAGTGGCCATTTTGCCTAAAACATTTAAATTGTTACACACTAATGATTGATTGTTTTAGACTGATGTTCCTCCATTTTGAATGTGTAAAGCCAATTTTTGGGAATTCCACAGCAGACTGGTTTGAAAAACGTCAATAAGGTGCTATTTAATAGGACAGCTCTTGTTAGCAGGTCTCAGACTGATGAAGTCTTTTGGATGAAAGTCGAAACTGTTCTTCCAAAAAGAAACTGTCCAGATTATATGCTTTAACTTTTTTTGTGATCTTTTATTGCAGATTTGGCAGATATGCATACAATTCAAAATTCAAATTTTTTTATTTGTCATTCGCACCACATGTGGTACATGTGGTGGAATAAAATTATGTACGCAGGGTCCCAGTTACAGCCAACAAAGTATTAAAATGTAAAAGAAAAACAGTAATAAGATCTAAGATATGAACTAAGAAAAACATCAACTGGAAACACACTAAGCACTAATAGAATAAAAACAATATGCCAAACAGCAGCACAACATGAGTCTGTGTGAGCAGATGAGGATGAATGAACACAGGAACATGAAACAGATCAGCAGCAACATGAAACAGATCAGCAGCAACATGATGTGATTTTTCACAGTGATTATTCTGGTTAGAGATTCATGAGTCTTAACAGCTTCAGGGTAGAAGCTGTTCCTCAGTCTAGTGGTTCTCTACTTAATGCTCCTCAACTTCCTTCCTGAGGGGAGCAGAGCAAAATGTGTGTGCTGGGTGAGTGGGGTCCTTCATGATGCAGGTGGCCCTCTTCCTGCATCTGGAGGTGTAGATGTCTGTGATGGTGGGGAGAAGTGCCAAGCATAATGCCAATGCCATGTAAACATAGTTTGCATGGTTTTCATTTTATTTTAATTTTTACATCTGAAAAGTGTGGTGGCGCAACTGGTAGAGCAGCTGCCTCTCAGCGAGCAGGTCCTTGGTTCAAATCCCGGTCAAGGGGCCTTTCTGGGTGGAGTTTGCATGTTCTCTCTGTGCATGCGTGGGTTTTCTCCGAGTACTCCAGTTTCCTCCCACAGACCAAAAACATGCATGTTAGGCTGATTGGTAACTCTAAATTGTCCCTAGGTGTGAGTGAGAGAGTGAATGGTTGTTTGTCTCTTTTGTCTCTATGTGTCCCTGCGATGGACTTGCGACCTGTCCAGGTGTCCCCCGCCCCTCACACAGTGATTGCTGGACATGGGCACCGGTGACCCCCGTGACCCAAAATGGAAGAAGCGGGTAACAGATAATGGATGGATGGATGAAAAGTGTGGTGTGCATTTGTATTCAGCTCACCGAGTCAGTACTTTGTAAAACCACCTTTTTGCTATAATTCCAGCTGTAAGTATTTTGGAGTATGTCTATCAGCTCTTCATTTTGCCCATTCTTCATCTCTGTCCATTTGAATGGAGAGCATCTGTGAACAGCAGTTTTCAGGTCTTACGACATATTCTCAGACAGACTTAGATCTGGAATTTGGCTGAGATATTTTAAAGCATGAGGATGATTTGATGTAAAACGTTCCTTTATAGCTCTGGTTGTAAGTTTCAAGTCATTGTCCTGCTAGAAATTGAACCTCCACCCCATTCTCATGCGTTTTCCAACCTCCAAATAGTTTTCTTCCGAACTGCCCTGTATTTTGTTCTATCCTTCCCATCAACTCTGACCAGTTTCCGTGTTCCTGCTGAAAAACACTATCCCCACAGCATGATGCTGCCACTACTATGTTTCACAGAGTATGGTGAGTTCAGGGTGAGTTGCATTGTTTGTTTTCCAACACATAAAGTTTTACTTTTAGGACAAGTAGTTGAGTTCTTGTTTGATCTGAGCAGAGCAGCTTCTTACACATTTATCGTTTCTCCACATTGCTTCTGGCAAACTGCAAATTGGACTTCTTATGGCTTTCTTTCAACAACGGGGTTTCTTCTTGACATTCATTAAGCCCAGATTTGTGGTGTGCATGACTAATAGTTGTCTTGTGGACAGATTTTCCTGCCTGACCTTTGGATCTCTGCAGCTCCTCCAGAATTACCATGGGCTTCTTGGCTGCCTCTCAGATTAATAATCTCCTTGTCCGGTCTGACAGTTTAGAGGGACAGCCCTGTCTTGTCAGTTTGCTGTGATGCCACACTCTTTCTATCTTTAGATGGTGACTTGAACAGTACTCCATACGTTCAATGCTTGGGATATAGTTTGATTACCAAACCTTGGAACTTTGTCCCGACTGTCTCGTGTGTTCCTTGGTCATCATGATGTTGTTTGTTCTCTAACGTTCTGTAACAAACCTCTGAGACTTTCGTAAGATCACAGTATTTATACAGAGATTATACACGGGTGCATTCTACTTATTAATAAAGTGACTTCTGAAAGTGATTGATTGCACGGTGCTTAGGGGTGTCAGAGTAAATGGGGCTGAATATAAATGCACACTGGATTTGTGTTTCTCAAAACCTTTTTTAAACAATGGTTCATTTTTCTTCCCCTTCACAATAATGCACTACTTTGTGTTGGTCCACACATAAAATTCCGGTAAAATACTTTTAAGTTTGTGGTAGTGTTTTTGTAAAATGTGGATAATTTCAATAATATTTTTAAGGCACTGTAAATGGTAAATGGACTGTACTTATATAGCACCTTTCTATCTTATCAAGACACTCAAAGCTCTCTACAATCTGTGTCCTCATTTGCCCATTCATACAGCACTCTACTAGATCTATACAAAAAATAATCAGAGCTTTATCACATTCATACACTGATGGGACACACATCGGAGGCAATGAGGGGTTCAGTGTCTTGCCCAGGGACACTTCAGCATGTGACTGCTGGTGGAATCGAACCCCCAACTCTCCCATTGGAGGACAATTGCTCTCAGCCATAGCTGCCCCATGGTATGTATAATGTATGTAGTATGTATTTGTGTTCCAAGTTGTTTTATACTATTTTTTCTCATGGTATGGATTTATCTGTGGAGTTTGCATGCTCCTGTTTTGTCTCTGGATAGTCCTCAGTCTAAAACAATGTCAATTTTGATCAGATTCATGCAAGTAAGAAAAATAAATTACTGACATCAAAAACAATATGAAAAGGCAAGTGAGCTCTTGAAAACAGTTGAAATATTGAGACAAAGAATATGCGGAAGGCGAGAGAGGCGAGAGAGTTGGGTTATAGTCATAAAGTTGGGATGCTAAAAGGTAGAAATATGTCAGAAATATACTTGAGAAATGTTAAAATTACTGAGATCTTAAAGCTTCATCTGAATTTTACAGTAGAGGTTTAGAAAACAAGTGTGAGCAATGGGCTACTCTAATGAATTAATAGGCTGGTACCAACTGATGTGGAGCAGGCCGACTGGAGAACGTCTAGAGGGATTTACAAGAATAAGGACAGGTGAAATTTGCTGGTTCCTTAGATAAATATTATTAACTGATTTTTATGTATGTGAATGTTTCTGTTCAGTGCCCTGAGACGACTTCTGTTGTGAATTGACGCTATATAAATAAACTGAATTTAATTTAATTTAAAATTGGCAGTAATCAATAGATAAATTAGGATCAAATGTTGTTTGTTGATGGATTCCCAGATAACAAAAATAATCTAAAAAATAATCTGCTGCTACTGTCAAAGATAATGAGAAAACAAAGACGTCTGGACAAAAATCATCATCATCGTCCATTATTCAAATTGATTAAAAGAGACCCAGAGGGCTCCCAGAACTATGTTCAAATTAATGCTCAGCCTGCAGCTTGCCTCTTTGTGCTAATGAGAGAAGGATGAGACTATTGATTACCCAGACTGCCTGTCTGTGCAGGTCTATCAATGTGTGTGTGTGTGTGTGTGTGTGGGTGTGTGGGTGGGGGTGTGTGTGTGTGTGGTGGTGGTGGTGGGAGGTTGTGGAAAGAGAGAGAGAACAAAATATACGTGACAATGTCTCACCACAGCTTTATCTCAATTATTACCTCGATGAAGGTGCCGGGGGCCAGGTGCATCTTAATGACAAACATGATGGGGATCCAGATTACAGAGCAGATCACCATGAGCCAGCCCATGACCATGGACCAGGTGGGGTAGGTGTAGTCCTCGTACGTCATCCCCTTCCACTGGTACAGGCTGAGTCCCAGGATACCCTACACACAAAACAAACTTATAGTAAAATATAACAATATAAGAAAATTTCCACTCAGGTAGTTTCAAACCTTTTTATCACCAGCCACCAAAAGGCACAAGGAGGGCAATAATGGTGTTTGTGTGTGTGTGTGTGTGTGGGGGGGGGGGGGGGGGTATTACGGATGTTCATATATCAGTCAGTTAGCAAAACATCATAGTCATGTGGAGGAATTTCAATTAAAACACACAGACATAAATAATTAGGTGTACATCGACAACTGACTGACTATTGAAGTCAACCTGATTCAAGAAGCTAGCTGACTATAAAAATTACTATAACATAATTAATTTTACTGATAAAAATTACTATAACATAAGTAATTTTACTGATATTAACTTAAAACCTGTGTGGTAGGAGTTGAGAGTGATCTCCACACATACAAAAACTGCCAACAGACTGTATAAGATCAATGTTTAAAGTTTTTAAGATCTTTGTTTAAGGTTTTTAAGACCTTTGATAAATGTTTTGCTGTTGATTATTTGGAGTCCATTGTCTTTTGTCTGCTTGCAAAACTTTTCATGAACCATTGGATCATGTTTCTTACAAGTTTACATTTTTTCAATCAAACTTTCTGGAAATAATTATTAGATGGGCCTCTATGGAGTCAAGTGAAATCAAGATGGCCACCACAGCTAGATTACCTTAGAAAACAAAAAAGTGGTTTATACTAGTCAATTTTACAACATTGAGCTAAAACTGGATGCTTTTGTAGCTGTAAGTCAACCAAAGCACATACTATGACCATGACAAATCACAAAATTACACATAATATTTTCAAGGTTTGACCAAGTTGATAATAACTTCATTGTTTTTCATCATAAAATGATTTTTGTTTACATTTTTGGCTTGAAAGGCAGTGGTTACTGGCATTACTACAATGCCAGTCACATTCTTTTATTCAACCTTTATTTATACAGGTAGTCTCATGGAGTCACAAAGACTCATTTTCAAGAGAGACCTGTTTTGGAGCAGATGGTGGAGGTTAAGGATTTTGCTCAAGGGCCCTAAGGGGGGCAAATGAGGGTGAACACATGTGTGGGTGCTTCACCATTCCCACCCACATTTTGATGTTGTTGAAGTCGGTGGGCAGTGTACTTTGAAGACCTCCTCAATCCCACCAGCACGTCTTCCACTGAAGAAGCAGAGCCTGAGGACTTTGGGTCAGGCTCTCAATTTCTGGTGCTGAAGTCATTGAGGTGGTTAAAAAGCTCCTTGGTAGCAGGGCCCCAGGGGTGGATGAGATTTGCTCTGAATTCCTTAAGGCTCTGGATGTTGTGGGGTTGAGTTGGCTTACACGACTCTGCAATATTGCATGGATATCGGGGGCAGTTCCCCTGGATTGGCAGACTGGGGTGGTGGTCCCCCTATTCAAAAAAGGGGGACCGTAGAGTATGTTCCAACTAGAGGGGGATCACGCTCTTAAGCCTCCCTGGTAGGGTCTATTCAGGGGTTCATGAGAAGAGGATCTGTCGGCTAATCGAGCCTCGGATTCAGGAAGAGCAGTGTGATTTTCATCCTGGTCGTGGAACACTGGACCAGCTCTACACCCTCAGCAGGGTCCTGGAGGTGCGTGGGAGTTTGCCCAATCAGTCTACATGTGCTTTGTGGACTTGGAGAAAGCGTTTGACCGCATCCCTCGGGGGACCCTGTGAGGGGTACTCCGGGTATGGGGTACCGGGCCTTTTTATATGGGTTGTTAGGCCCCTGTATGACCGGTGTCGGAGTTTGGTTTGCATTACCGCCAGGAAGTCAGGCTTGTTCCCAGTGAGAGTTGGACTCTGCCAAGATTGCCCTTTGTCACAGATTCTGTTCATAACTTTTATGGACAGAATTTCTAGGCACAGCCAAGGTGTTGAGGGGATCCGTTTTGGTAGCCTTAGGATCACGTCTCTGCTTTTTGCAGATGATGTGGTCGTGATCTACAGCTTTCGCTGGAGTGGTTCGCAGCCGAGTGTGACACAGCCGGGATGAAGATCAGTTCCTCCAAATCCGAAGCCATGGTCTTCAGCCAGAAAAGGGTAGAGTGCCTTCTCTGGGTCGGGGAGCAGGTCCGGCCCCAGGTGGAGGAGTTTAAGTATATCAGGGTCTTGTTCATGAATGAGGGAAAAATGGAGCGAGAGATCGAATGGTGGATAGGTGCAGCATCTGCAGTGAAGAGGGCACTGTACCGGTCTGTCGTAGTGAAGAGAGAGCTGAGTCAAAAAGTGAAGTTCTCGATTTACAAGTCAATCTACGTTCCTACCCTCATCTATGGTCATGAGTTTTTGTGACCGAAGAACGAGATCACGGATACAAGCGGCCGTAATGAGTTTTCTCCGCAGGGTGTCTGTACTCTCCCTAAAGCCCCCAGTATACTCTCGCGTACATCAGTCCACAGAGGTCAGCGCGTACCGGATTAGAGTCGAAGCGGACGCCGGCAGGGCATGTCCGTGCAAAGCTCAATTTTTATGACCGCATACGGGTACTCGGTGTCGCACAATAAACTGCCCGGTGACGGACTGTTTTATATGCAACACCAATGTATTAAATTCCCCTTCTTCATCCCCGATATGGTCTTCTTCTTTTTTTTTTTTGCCAAAAGGCAAGTGACCTCTTCCTACTTCATTGATGCCATGACTGAAATTGTGAGAAATTAAGGAATTTGTCACGAGCTAATTAAAATCAGGTCCAGCGTGGCTGCAGGAGGGTCTGAAGATTTCCTGGTGGGCAGGTCTGATGTGGGAGCTGCAGGACCTGTGCTCCCTATTTTTTATTTATTTATTGTTTGTTTTTTTTAGAACTTTTTATTAACAACATTTAAACACAGAACACCGCTGCGACTGGATCTCTCTTTTTTTTATCTTTTTCCAACACATCAATCAATACAGTAGGCGTGTCAGCAAATGACCAATCAGCGACCTCAATTTGTGCGGAAGGTAAACGCCCCTTGTCTGTGGAGCTGCTCTGCAGCCGCTCAGGGTGGACGCTCAAGCATGAAGTCTGAACTTTCTGCGGAAAGTGCGCACAGTTTTTGCGCGGCTGACAGGACGTGGGAGTATACTGGAGCCTTTAGAGATAGGATAAGAAGCTCAGTCATCCGGGAGGGACTCAGAGTAGAGCCGCTGCTTTTCCACGTCGAGAGGAGCCAGTTGAGGTGGTTCGGGCATCTGGTTAGGATGCCTCCTGGACACATTCCTGGTGAGGTGTTCTGGACATGTCCCACCGAGAGGAGACCCAGAGGAAGACCCAGGACACGCTGGAGGGACTAAGTTTCTCGGCTGGCCTGGGAACGCCTTGGGATTCCCCTGGAGGAGCTGGACCAAGTGGCTGGGGAGAGGGAAGTCTGGGACTCACTACTTAGGCTGCTACCCCCACGACCCGACCCCAGATAAGCAGAAGATGGATGGATGGATGGATGGATGGATGGATGGATGGATGGATGGATGGATGGATGGATGGATGGATGGATGGATGGATGGATGGATGGATGGATGGATGGATGGATGGATGGATGGATGGATGGATGGATGGATGGATGGATGGATGGATGGATGTTAAGAAGCCTCATGTTATGCTTGACCAGCTCCAGGGATGCACTGACTGAAAGAATGGCAGCCCACTTTATAATCCTTTAAGGAACATATTTACTCAAGTTTTTTAATCTAACATTTAAAACTCATTTAAACATAAATAAGTTATTTGTTTTGAGTTGTTTTGTTCTTTGAAAGCTATAGACGCTAATTATTTTAGGCCCAAAAACTTGGCATCATCAGAATGAGGTACATTTTTCTGAAAGTGAAATGAACAAATAAATCTGTCACCTTTTCCTTTTTCTAAAGAATAGATTTAACATTTGTAAATATGTTTATATTCATGTAGCTCTGTAAACAAAGGGGAAAAAAGAGCAATGAATAGAAAACCTTAATGTTTTAATGGACTGATGTCCCCACAGAGCAGCAAGATGTCCAGCTGCTCCAGCTCTGCTCCATGTGGCAGCACCACCTCTGTTAGAGCCGAGGTTTCTCTTACATTTAATAAACAATAACCCGACTCGTGTCCAGCTCTGAAATATTCGTGGCAATTTACGAATCCTGCTGCACAGCACAGGCAGTGGTGGTCAAATGTTGTCACGCAGATCCAAGGTGCTTAACCAGCTGAGCAGTGCAGACCTCATACAGGGGGGTTGTGGGGTTTAAAGATAAATAATCTGAGAATTGGTTTCAGGACAGGAACAGGAAGTCATTTTCTTTTTCAATAACAAAGGAGCAATTTTTCATCTGTTACCTTCTGAATGCAAATTACCGGACTTGAAAGGTGACAGCGAGAATGGATTCTTTTTACAACGCATATGTTCATGAGTGTGAGTGTGTGGCGGGGTGCACGCGTGCACGTGTGTGTGCGTGTGAGGGAATGAGATGAGCAAAAACAAACACACCGTCAAAATTGTTGGAGTCACAAAGGCCCAGCACAGTCTCCAGAATCGGTTGGGCTGAAAACCAATCATCATTTCGATGTCCTCACAAAACCTCTGCAGACCTGAGAGAGGAGAAAAAAGAAAGGATGAAAAATAAATAAAATTAAAGAAGAAAAACGAAAGGAAGAGAGAAAGTGAATTCACAGTGGATGACCTGGGTATAATAAGGTTTCTTTAAAAAAAATTAAAAAAAAGATCAGCAAATTCCATCCATCTGTGTGTACGTGTGTGTGTTCGAGCATCAGATTCCTGGATGAGAGTGAGGGAGCAGGTGGCTTCACTCCTCCGCTGGTATTGATGGATAACAGTGAGTGACATGAAGTGGCACAGTCACCTGATCATCTCAATACGTCACGTGCACTGATGTTCTGACAAACTGAAGCAAAGCTGCTTGCTTTGCCTCTCGGTGAAAACCTGACACACACACACACCTGAGCCTCGAGCCAGTGTTGGACTGTTACGTCCCAACAGCGACCCCTGCTGGCCACTCTGAAGATCTCAAGGGAAATTTACTGACCAGCATGGAGGACATTTAGGGGGAGAAACCTAATGTCCCCTGAAAGACTTTAAAAAATCTTTAAGACTCCCAGAAGTACCTGAACTCCCTGCTGATGTGCTAAAGTGTGCTTAAACAAAAGTACTCGGGGGGTGAGTGTGTGTGTGTGTGTGGGGGGGGGGGGGGGGGTCAACTCAGTTATAAACTACCACAATAAGTCACACTTCCCTGTAGACATTCTCCACTGTGCTTTTTTATCAGCTGCCACTCAGCAGTAATGTCTGTCACGTATGTATTTGTACATGTGTCCACAAAACGTCCCATGGCCCAGTGGGTGGATTTGAATGAAACTCAGAAAGTAATCATCTAAAACTGATTAACTTTTAGTCAATTCAGTTCAAGATTTAGTCAATTCAGTTCAAGATGGCTGCCACCAGAGCTAACTAAACTGAGAAAACACAGAAATTGCTTCAACTCAGCCATTTTTTTGTTGTTGTTTTTTTAACTAAAGACTGAAGCGGTGAGTGAAGCCAAACTACCACATGGAGCAGGGGCAGCTCAGTGTGCTTCAAGCTTCAGTCTAAAACTGAATGTTTTTATTAAGAGCTTGAACGGAGGAGCTGTAGTTTTTGTTTCTGAACATTATTACTCGTAATCACGACTGCATATTTACCATCAAGCATGAACTGAAATCAACATTTCTTTGAAATTAAAAAAAGAGTTTTACAATGAATTAACAAATCAAACAATTATGATAAATTTATGTATCTTTGCTCATTTGCATATCTTCTGTAATTTCACATTATTGGATGATGAGTCCACTTTCAGTCTTTGAATTGTGACGCTTTCGGTACCAGTAGCAGCTCCCGTTGCACTCGTGTACTCACCGTAAAGGTAGGAGATCCCAACCAGCTCAAAGATTGCAATGATGACCAAAGAATAGGAGGCTGCGTATGTGTCCACCAACTGCAGCATGTACATCCCACTCTTTAACAGCAAACGCACAAACAAAACATATAAAATCAGACGATCAGTCCTAGTTTAACAGTTTTCTCTGTTATTCTAACTCCACTGAAGCGCAGGAATTAAACAAAGAAGACTACTTTAGACTGGACTGTTTTCTCTAAAGGATTACCGTAATTTCCAGACTATAGAGTGCACCCAAATATAAGCCACGCCCAGACAGTAAGACAGCTTACTCCAAAGTGGAACAAACCAGTTATGTTGGTGCTAAGATGTTCTCTTTGACACGCCCCCTCCTCTGTTGCCGTCCCTCTTCCTCGTCGACAGTCTTGTCAAACTGGTTCAAAACCAACTGGTTTGTTCCACTTTGGAGTAAGCTGTTTGGGGGAAGAATCAGTTTTGTGTTGTGTGTTTCCTTGACTGATGAAGCCTTCTGGATGGATGGTGAAACGTTTCAGCAAAAAAAGAAACTGTCCAGATGACCTGACTGAAAATTGTTGGATTTTATACCTGGATTATTGAGCGTGGACTTTTTTGATGTATGGTAAATGTTTTTTGGGTTTTTTTCTAAATAGTGCCTGTAACACAGCTGGTAAAAAAATAAAATAAAGTAGCCTACCAGGAAAAGTCACCTATCGCTACCTTCATTCCTCCTGTGCACTAAAACCACTAAAGTCGTCTTCTTCAGTGTCAGAATTGAACAGCCTCAGAAAAACTTCATCACACACGTCCTCAGTGTCTTTTTCATTGTCGCTCTCAATGTCACTTTTCGTCTCGAGGCAAATTTGTGATTTGATTTGATTTACAATTTGCACTTATTTCGAAAGGCTGCGAATACTTTGTTGTGCACGAGGGGAGAAACTCCCACAGGGAGGGAACGGGAGGAGAAGATTTCCACTGTGACCTGTTCTGTAATTTCATTTGCCAGATTTTCTTAAGTCTTTATTTATACAGGTAGTCTCACTGAGTCACGAGGACCCACTCCACAAGAGAGACGTGCATTGGGCAGCTATGTGAGCGCTCGGGTGTGACGAAGCTAAATGTTCTGGCTGCATGAAGCTCATTAGCCTGTCAACAAAATAAATCCATACATTAGCCGCAGCATCGTATAAGCTGCGTGGTTCAAAGCCTGTGAAAAATGTGGCAGCTTATAGTCCGTAAATTACGGTAGTTTTGTTCCAGTCAGTGAGCCCGGCCTCAAAGACTCAACTTTGCTCTGCATGCAGATAAGCTGTTTGTGTTTTGTGTGTGTACCTCTGTTATCATGGGAAAGCCCAGGATGAAGAAAGCGATGCAACAGACCAGAGTGAAGACTGGTTTGTGTTTCCTCAAGTATTTGGGGTACTCGTCTGACACGGATGTTACGATGGTCTCGATGGTGGCAAACTGAGAAGGAAAAGAACGGGTGCAGGGGGAAAACATGGAGAGACAGGAGAGGGTAAGAAGGGTAAGAGAGGGAGAACAGCTCATCGCTGATCCTGTTTCTTGCGTTGACAAAATGACCGGCCTGCAGCCAGCACGTTTTCCTCATTTAAAGCTGAGCAGCTGCTGCTGTCAGAACCTCCCTGTCTAGTGTTGTGGAGCATTTGTCTTCAGTTTGTCCACTTTGAGAGTAATTTCATTCCCTTCCAAAACAATTCAAAAGAATATTTGTCATTCTGAGCGCGAGGAGAAAACAAAAAAGGAGGAGTTTAGTTTACAGAGAAAGAACCTGACAGGTGGAAGTCAAGGAAAAGGAGCTCAGCGGATGAATATATAAACACTTTTAGAGACGCCGGTGTCTTGTGAGCAAACGTGTGAGAAGACGGCAGGAACGCAGCAGCGCCGAGCTCAACGTGCCACTTCCCAATTCCACTTCTTCTTGAGCTCCCAAAACTAATTTCCTGTCAACATCCCAAGCCTATTACCACCGAGCTGCTTCCTACAACAAAGCTGCCAGCCCCCTGCGCTGAGCCGCTGCTGCCAAGGCGAAACAACATCATCATTTAGTGTTTCTGTTGACTGGTGTCTCAACGCCGCCGCCTGCTCGGCTCAGGAGCATCTCAGAGGAAGGAGGTGGAACATTAATGTGGGGGCTGTTTGCTCAGGATTAGAACGGAGGGACCAAAAAAAACGCTTCATCACCATTGAAATGTTTGTTTACTGAAGCTAAATCAGGTGAATTAATTAACTGACATAATTGTTGTTTGCAACATATCCTGTAGGTGTAAATACTGGAGTAATAGTCCACAAACTAAACCAACTGCAGCTGAATTTACTTGTTTGTTGTTGCTGTGAGCAGATCAAAGATATGCTGCAGACAGAAGAGAAAAACATCCTTATTCGCACGCAGCTGATGGGAAATCATTATTATTTATGATGGGGGGAGGGGGGGGGGAATCAGTAGTCATGCTGCTTAGATTTGTTCCAGTTTAGAGCTGAACAATAAATTTGTCCAAGCTACAGCCTTTGTTCTGCAAAAAACACAATGCTGATTGGATTAATGAACCAAAACTATAAACTGAAGAGCACCAAAACAACTAAAGTTAATTTAAAATGGGGGGGGGGGGGGGGTTAGGCTAAGATTTGTGCTGATACGTGCAGTGTTAGAGTATAACATTAAGATGGTAAACATTTGCATGGCTGCGTTGCATGAGTCATAAGAAAATGACCATGCACAACATTACATGTTAGTATCACCATATTAATATTCAAACTGTAAACAAGTTGGGCTAAATGCTAATTTCATTATTTTCCTAGTTTTTATGATTTCTCCGAGTCGAGTTAAACTAGTGCTTATTAATAATTTCAGTGTCTGAGTGATCAAATCCTGCTGTTTGTCTGAGCAGTTAAAATAACAGAGAAATGTATGTTAATACATTTTATCGTTAAATGTTTTCCTGCGTGTTTGAAGATATATTTATGTGGAAAAGCCCGAAAATTAAAAATCAAAATCCTTGATCTGGTTGCTCACCAACAACGAGACTATGATTGTCTTACACCAAAACGATTAGCTTCATGTTGACTGTGGTCAGGCTCATGCAGGTTGGACAAATGAGTTCACTTTGGAGAAATGCACTAATAAAAATCTGTGATCACTTAAATAAACTCACTGAGCTGCAGCTGGTGGAGACAAAGTGTAAAAAGCGTTTGTGTACATGATTCCAAATTGTCTTGAAACGTTCACAGGGGTTCTCAGTTTCCTCCGGTGAGTTGCCGGGCCTGGTTCTTGGGTTCTTGGGTTGCATGTGTGATAAATTTACAAGCTTTGGCTAAATTTTCTTCCTTTCATAGCGAGATATACAGTATTCTCTCGTTTATCGCAGGGGATCTGTACCCTGAAGGCCCGCGATGATTGAAAAACTGCAAGTTAGGAATAGTACTACAAATAATTTATTTT